TTCGGAACGAACGCGTGTTAGTAATTGTTTTTAGGGTAATATTATAGATGTTTAACTTTCTGAATAGACGTTGAAAAGTACACATTGGTAACAACACCAAAAGCTTATATTTAATACGTACTAATCGCTGTTATGATTATCCTGAATTAATAGGTTATTTCTCATTTAAACACGAACTTCGAACTTAATGTAAGTGTGATTTACCACGGAATGAATACGTTTTGTTTTGTAATGATATACATCATAAGTTGTAGCACGGTTGCTCATTCGCTGACTATCATAAAGCTTGTCATCTAATTGTTGTTGTTTCTGTTTCAGTGCGTAAAAAATACACTCATACTGGCTGTATGCATTTGTTGGATACCCAGTTATTATTTAGATTCCTATTTCTTATTTTGAAGAATATGTGTGTATCTGTTTCTATTGTCACTTTCTAAATTTCCACCGCGCACCGCTTCCATATTGGCGAGGTGGGCGCGGTTATTTTGCGATTGTTCGTCTGGAACAAAATACCGTGACACGCGACCTTTGACATGCCACGTCACAGAGGTTACCGCTGCCCGAGTCAAAACAATAAAGTTCTACGTTTCAATCGCTAACGTTGATACGTAGATGAATGAAATGTAATTAAAGATACTAATGGCGCTACAATAGTTCATCCTTGTTTTGTTTGATAAATCAGCACAAGGGATGCTCACGGAAATATATAAAAAGGTTGCCGCCCGCCAAGAGTATGAATATTCATGAGTGTAAAAATAGCCCCATGTGACAGACGACAACATATCATCGTTGGAACATGACGGCAGTGGGAGTGGGTGATGATTACGATTTGGGGGAGTCGGAGTCTCTCGATTCCGACTCAGAGTCTGACTCCCAATCAGGAGAAATGAGCGGTAAGTAAAATTATCTGTCATTTTCAAGTCCAATAGACTAAACTGAGTATCGTGTATGGCTATTGTCAGTGACAATGTTCATGGCGGGAATATATGAATTATGACTGATTTGCAAGTTTAGTAATTTTAACATATTGGTGCTATTTTGACTTTTCAAATGTTAGACATTTTTACCATGCAATTATTGATACCGCAGAAACAATACATTCCTATATGAATTTTTATTTGAAATAAATAAATCCTCATTTGACTGTGAAGTACAAATATTATGCAAATTGAAAATTTCAACATGTCCATATGAGGGCAACACTTATTTTTAATAAATCGTAGGAATTGTAGCACTATTCACACAGTAAAAAAAGAGAATGTGTATTCTGAAATAGTGTCAACATAAGTACTCAATGTAATAAAAATAACATGTGAATTTTTTATATCAATATTCTCTTTGAAAGTAATCATGTACTTTTGACATAGAAGAAAATATGTTTTATGTCAGTGAGTACAATTATACAAAAAGGCCTTCTTATTTATTAGTACAAGCATTTTGTGACACAGAGAACATACAGCATATTGACACATATTACAAAATTGAGTAAAGTCCAGTTTTGATAAATTTGGCAACGCGAGAGTTTAGTGGTGAATAATAATATGGTGCTTGGTCTCATGTTTGGTAGGTACATGTATATAAATTATTGTATTTGATAATATTCACAAGTAGATGTGATCTGGCAAATAGATGTTGATGTACATATGTGTTGATGCAATATGTCTGAATTTAAAAATCATAATTAATTACTTGAATTGATGAAACTATAGTTAATACCTAATGTTGTTCTTTTATCTGGGCACATACCATTATTAACAAGGGTTAAGCTTCATTATGCCTTATGCAACCAACCATAAAATGTGTTGTTTTAAGACGTCTGTCTGTTGGGAGGTCTTTATTATGGGAAGATACCTGTACAATTAATGTGTATTAATTAACTCATCTCTGAATATACTAGCCTCATATAAATATTTACCTAAGTACTCTAACATTGTCAATACAAAAGTTACTGATCACATTTGTAATTATATTGTTAAATAATAAAAACAGTATCTATATCTATGATATGATGGACAATATAACATGAAATGCAATTCATCTTAAATATCATCTTTACACATTAAACCCTTTCGATTAACAAAAGTTATGTTTTGGTATTTGCCATTTTCTACTGCGAAGTTATGGGAGCACATTCACAATTTTGATACATACTTCCTACATAGAGATATGGAATAGCTTTATGTACATAATATATGAAGCGAACATTGCTTGATATTCAAAAACCTATGTTTACACTGTTTACTGTGCAATATAATGCCTTGAGTTACTTCACAGAGTAAACAGATCAAGTAGGGTTAGCAGTATTAATTACTCCACTCTGCCTAGTAATTTATGTTATTGTAGGGCACAACCAATAAATTATAATGAACCAAACATAATTTTTTTTATCGTTTCATTAATTATTTAAAATGAATACTAAGAAAATGAAAGTGTTATAAAGTGGGGTATAAACTCAGGGCTCCCACAGGTCAGGGAAAAGTTAGGGAAATCTGGCATTTCTCTGAAAGTCAGGGAAAATTCAGGGAATTTTGATATTTCTATGAAGCACAATTGGTTCGATTTCTGAATTAAACAGTATGAAACATATTTTCCGGGTTAATATACAATTTTCTCTTGGAAACTGACATAAATTTGACAAGAGCCTTCTTAGCATGTGATTTCAGATGTAATGCGGGTGGATATTGTCAACGTCTTGTCTGTCTGTCCGTCCGTACGTAATCATATTGTTTCCGGAGCATAACTCGAAAACGGTTCAATATTTTCAACCAAACTTTGCAGATATATCAAATAGAAAAGAAAGTAGTGCCTTTGAATATTTACAGATTGTTGTCATTTTTATTTTTCTTGGTTGCCATGGAAACGTTTTAGACTTTGTCTAAAAAAATGAAGTTTCAACTGTAAGTAACTGTCAGATGATTTGCTGTTTCATATTTGTAGGGGCTGGGGGATTTGTCATCTTTTGATGACTCTTGTTTAGCATGGAAAAACACTAGTCCGAGATAGGCATAGTGATTAACAATAGATAATTGTTTGCCATTCAAAACATTTCTCTTTATAGGTCCACCTCGTCTAAAGATAACTATGTTAACTGATAATTTTCCATTCATTTGTATACTGTTCCAAAATATTATAAATAGTATGACGGCTATGGTGGTTTCTTGCAAATTGTGAAAGCCCATTTTGGCCAAAAATACCCATATAAGTTTCTTTGTTAAAGTACAGTCTAGGTTTACAGGGTTCAAAATACCCCATATATTAGTGTGCCATGGCACAGTAAATATTGAAATGGCACGGCTGAAAAATGCTCTCGGTGCCCTTTTGACACGCCTAATGTTTTAGAGACATAACTCACATTTAGTCATTTAATCCCCCAAACAATTATTTTTTCCAAACTGAATAATACCATACATATTTGAATGCCAATAAACCCATTTCTTTATTTAACAATAAATTTCAAATGATGATCATCATTGTCATGTATTCTAAAAACATGTGGGCATACTTGATTTCTGAAAGGCACACCTAAAATATTTGTCTGGTGCCATAAGGCACACTTAGAAAAAAACGTATTTCTATCCCTGGTTTATAATGTGCCCTATTGTCAGACATTTGCTGTTTGTTCACAAAGTTGAAAGTGGTTGAATGGTGTTCATACTCTAGTTGTCATGGTTGTACTGAATGTAAAGTGACATCTTGCATGTTTATTCTTTCCAAATACGCCTTTGATAATTACAACATTTTGTGATAATGAAGAAATGTGTTCCTGACTTTGAATGAAACAATTCAATTAAATCATTAGTTTCACATTTATGCTCTTTGTCAAATGCCCTTGATATAAAATACAAAGTTTTCAGATGATATATTACTGACATCAAGTGAGAATATATATTTCATGGTCACAGTCAAATGTATCTAATAGTATTATGTTACATTATGGCAGGAGAGTCAAGGAACAATTTCTTCATCCCAAATATCAATGTTTTGGTTAATGTAATAAATTAACAAATACTATGTGTATTTATGATATGTGTGAAGGAAATATCTTAACACGCAAACACGGTGGTTAGGACTGACTGAAAGGGAGGGAGGAGGCCAGTTTTTACACTTACATGGTCAGGGAAAATCTATACTTGTCAGGGTAAAGTCAGAGAATTTTTACCTGCCATGCCTGTGGGAACCCTGAAACTACCTAAAACAGAATAGCTGTAGGCCACAGCCCAGAGGGTTTTAATAACTATGTGGTCATACCCTTTTTAATTTTTTGTAAATATTTAAGACAATATACTTCTGGTGAATTCAGACTCTTTGCTGAGCTAATTCTCCACTATGACCATCACAACATCATATTAGAAAATCATTAAAAACCACACTGGTGCCATACAGTAGCATCATGATACATCTTTCAGATAATCTGCCAATATAATTTGTATATCTAAGGGAGGTAATACAGTACACAAAGAATTGCATTATCTCCCCTCTAACAATATGAAAATCCATCATCCAACACTTGTTGAGCTTTAATTCTCACTGTATGAAGCACTGAGAAATAAATGCTGCAGTATTCAGTACAGTCAAATTATTTTTTTCAACGAGGAATGACTAGGGTGAGTAAAGAATGATAATATTTTTCCCAATGATATTAGGATATGTAATCTGAAAAATCGAAATGGTGTCACATTATATATAGGGTGTATTACCTGCCCCATTAAGAAAGTATTGTGAACAATATGGGAAATGCATTATATGAGCATGTGTCATAAGCCCATTAATATATTTTCCTGTGTTACTTGCATGAAAACACTCTCTAAATGAAAATAAATCTTTCCTTTAATATTTAATTGAGAACACTGGTACATATTACATTTTTTGTACCCCTCTGATACCAAAAAATATCACAACTTTCAGATGAAGAACTTCAAGAAGAAGATGGAGAAGAAAGAGGGGCCCAACCAATGGTTCGTGGCCCCTGGCTGCCTGTGCTGGACACAGGCAGCTTTGACCTCGGCAATGACATTGACTTTGCAGGGGACTGCGGCCCTGTCAACCCTCCAGGTAGTCATGTCAACAGTACATTAAACAAATAAATGACATAATAACATACATGATTTATCATGAAATGAATGTATTCATTAATGAACATAGGCAATACAATTCATAAGAAATAACTTAATTGTTATATTCTTCAATTTGGTACGTGGCAAAGTTACACATGTTCAGGTATAAATGTGGATATCAATTGAATACTATTGACATTATGCTTGTATCTATCAAAGATATAGGTATGTATGAATGATAATGAAAGATTTTGATTGTAGGCAAAATGCGAAGATATGATCAATAATGGTTTGTAATAATGATACAGGTTTAGATACAAATAATGATATATTTTTCAGGTGAAGATGCCCCTCCTATCAAATATTTTGATCAACAACTGGGAGGAGGGGATGGAGGCGTTGATTTGTTCGACCTGCTGGTCAGGGAGACAAACAGGTATGCAGAGCAGTACCTGCAGGGCCGCACTCTATCGCCGCAGAGCAGGGCTCGGGCTTGGAGACCCGTTGACCGGGAAGAAATGCGGGCATTTCTTGGACTCTTGTTGGGCATGGGTGTCGTCAGGAAGCCAACCATTTCATCCTACTGGAATGAGGGGGACAAGAACTGGCTGGCATCAACACCTTCCTTCGGGGCAACCATGTCGAGGAACCGCTTCCAAATCATCATGCGGTTCCTCCACTGCAATGACAATTCTACTGCAGTGCCCCGAGGGCAGCCAGGTCATGACCCCCTCCACAAGATCAGGCCGGTCCTTGATCTTGTGAATGGATCCTTCGCAAACACTCACCGGTAAGCTATTTTAAATTTTCCAGTTTAAATTAAACAATTATTAGGATGAAATGTATGACATGGTGTCTAGATATAGTCAATATATCCATTAAAGCCCATCTAAGTAAATGACTAAATGAAATTTAATGATGACATGAACCTTATATTGCATAAATATTGAAATGTTTGCATCAAGATCTTTCACATTATTCAGGCTGGCCCAGAGTGTTTGTGTGAATGAAAGGATGGTTGGCTTTAAGGGACGACATCATCTTGTTCAATACATGGCCAACAAGAAAGCACACAGATGGGGAGTGAAGTTGTGGATCCTTGCCGAGGCGGGTACTGGATACACCCATCAAGTCCGGATCTACAAGGGCAGGAACCTTGGAGGACCACCACCCAGGGCAGGCCTTGGGCACAGTGTGGTCATGGACTTGATGGAACAGCATCTCGACAAGGGACACCACATCATCTGTGACAACTTCTTCAGCAGTCCGTCTCTCTGCCATGATCTCTTTGACAGGAAGACGTTCTGCACAGGAGTTGTCGCCGTCCGGAGGAAGGGAATGCCGAGCTCCTTTGTTGGGAAAAGACCACCCAGGGGCTCGACAATTGTGAGAAGACAGGGTCCACTGCTGGCAGTGCTCTTTTCAGACAGGAGGGTCTTCACAATTTTATCTACCATGGGTAGTCCAAGGTATATAGTATTTTAAACTTTTCAATATCCTGTTTGGCAGTTTAGTCAGTATGATTTCTATTACTTGTGGTTATCTTTCAAGCACATAATATCATGATACAGTTTTATGAGTGTGAAATACCTCAATGTTATTGTGAAGATGTTTTGAATTTACTGACATGATTATTGAATTCTTAACATGTAATGTTTTCTTTACAGAATGGAAGATGGGCTTAACTCACGGGGCCGGTCTGTCACTCTCCCCTCAGTCGTAAGACTATACAACACCTTGATGGGGGGAGTTGACCTTGGGGATCAACTCATTGCTGTATATGATCCCCAAGTCCGCTCCGTGAAGCTGTGGAAGAAAATTTTAATCAACTTTCTTCTCACAGCTTCAGGTAAGAAATTTTTTCCCCATAGAACTCGTAATCATCACTCATTGGTATTATATTGTAGTGTCGGCTTATCATCAGTAAGGTAATAATGGATCTGTTCATATAATTATTGCCATTGCTCTCAAAGTGTACTTGCTGATGACACAATTTAAAAATATATAGAGTTATTAAATATTAATTGGTACCACTTCCGATATATTTTGATTATAGTGATTCATCAAGAATGAGCTTTTCCGGTGATTATTCACTATAATTCTTCAATGTTTCTTATCTTTACGTTACAGTTAATGCCTATCAGACCTTCATGAACACCCATGGTAGGACGACCCCCCGTCTGGACTTCCACATGTCCCTGACCAAGGGGTAAAAAGGCTGGCAGGCGAAAGCAGAGACCTATCAGTGTTCTCATTGGACACAGGCCACTCAACCACAACTCCAATCAGATTGCTTCATCAATCAATTATGACAATCTCATCTACATACAGCCCCGTAGATTACCGCCTACTTTGAAGCTATGTCTCTGGAATGTTCAATCAGCTTGTAACAAAAGTGACATCATCATGGACACCATTATGGATTGTGACATCGACATCATGGTCGTAACAGAAACATGGTTAAGAGCTCCGGGTGATGAGTCCAAACTTGCCAGTATGACGCCCCCTAGATACAAGTCAAGACACCAACCAAGACAGACGCGTGGAGGCGGTTTAGCGGTTATCTACAGAGATAATCTTCATGTGAAATTCCGCCATGTGGATCAGTTTAATTCCTTTGAGTCAATGCAGTTTCAGGTGACTCATGGCAAAACTGCCACTGACATTGTATCTCTCTATCGTCCACCCCCGTCAAAGAAAACCAGTTGTCATTCTCAGTTTTCTATCAGGAGTTTTCTATTCTTTTGCATCAAATTTGTGTCGACAGAAAACAACCTATAATCATGGGTGATTTTAACATTCACTTTGATGTAGCAACCAAAAGTAATACATTACAGATGCTCAGCCTGCTAGAAGCTCACAACTGTCATCAAATCATAGGCTTGCCAACTCATAAATCAGGCCACATTTTGGACTGGGTTATAAAAAGAGAGACTGACCCCATCATAACTGATTCCAGAGTAACCGACTATCAGATCTCAGATCACTACTTAGTAACCCTGAACATTGATATCACAAGACCATCGCATCCAGTCAGATATATTAGGTGTAGAAACATAAAAAACATGGATACTGCTACTTTTCGTTCAGCTCTGTTGACGTCACCTTTGTTGACCGATCCTCCTTCAACCTGTGAAGCATATGTAGACATGTACAACACAGTACTTCTAGAGCTCCTGGACAAACATGCCCCAGAGAAGGTCAGGCGAATCCCCCACAGACCTGAAGCTACCTGGCTTTACAGTCCAGATGTCAAGAAAGCCAAGTCAGAGAGACGGGTAGCTGAGAGGAGATGGAGGAAGTCATGTCTGGAAGTACACCGTCAGATTTACTGTGCAGCCAGAAATAAGGTCAGCATTATCATCAAACAAGCTAAACAGAATTTCATGAACTCTAAAATCAGTGACAGCAAATCTAACTCTAACGCCTTGTACAAGCTGATGTTTAACTTGATGGGGAAGTCCGCGGATAATCCCTTACCTGATATTGGTACCACCAAAGAAATTGCTCATTCATTTGCAATGTACTTTCAGGAAAAAATCAAAAATATTAGAAGCACACTCCATGACAGCGAAACACTGACGCCGTCTTTAGGATGTGATGATACTTTTGATGACAAACCTGTTTTGAATGTTTTCCCCCCCCTTTCACAGTCCCAGAAACACTAAAACTTCTTAGGAAGTCTAAACCGACTTGCTGTGTACTCGACCCGATTCCAACTAACATTGTACTGAGTTGTATGGATATCCTCCTGCCCACTTTGACATCAATCATCAACTGTTGCCTGCACGAAGGTACAATGCCCGTTTCTCTGAAAAATGCTATCGTGAAGCCACTCCTAAAAAAAAACCTGACCTCGACACAGAACATCTCAAGAACTACAGACCTGTTTCTAACCTTCCATTCCTCTCCAAGCTCATTGAAAGAGCTGTTGCAGAACGTCTGTCACAGCACTTGACCCTGCACAACTTGTATGATCCACTTCAATCAGCGTATCGCCCTCGACATAGCACCGAGACAGCTCTCCTGAAAGTCGTCAATGACCTGAGATGTGCCATCGACTCGGGGAATGTTGCTCTGCTCGTTCTCTTGGACTTGAGCGCGGCTTTCGACACCATCGACCACCAAAGACTGCTGCAGCGACTTCAGGACGATTTTGGTGTCCAAGGATCTGCACTGAATTGGTTTAGCTCCTATCTGTCTCAGAGATCACAGTGTGTGTACATTGATGGACAGTTCTCAGATTCAGTACATCTAAACTGCGGTGTGCCTCAAGGTTCAGTATTGGGCCCGATATTATTCACTCTTTATACCAAGGAATTGGGTCAAGTCATCGACCAGCACAAGCTGCCAAGACACCTCTACGCTGATGATACGCAGCTCATTAAAATATTTCGACCAATAGCATCCATAGCAGAAGCAGCCTCTGCCGATGTTACCAACTGCTGTACACAGATAAAGAATGGATGAACATCAATAAACTCAAGCTTAATGACGACAAGACGGAGTGCATGCTAATAGGCCCATCTGCAAGATGTACCCAGTCAGGTCTCACCGTAGTTCAGATCGGAAGCTCAAGTATTGATGTCACTCGTTCTGTGAAGAACTTGGGTGTTGTTTTGGACTCAGAACTGTCCATGAAGCAACATGTCAGCCACATCTCCCGAGTTTGCTCTTTCCAACTGAGGAATATCAGCAACATCAGAAAGTACCTGACCAAAGAATCACTTATCATCCTGATTCTCACCCTGGTAACATCTAGGATTGATTACTGTAACAGCCTCCTTGCCGGTGCACCCAAGTCTGTTACCAACAAACTACAGCACATCCAGAATACAGCTGCTCGGATAGTCTCCAGCTGCAGGAAGTACGACCATATCACCCCCATCTTACATGACTTACACTGGCTGCCCATCCGACAGAGAATCAGCTATAAGATCTTGTGTCATGTGTATCGATGCCTGTCTGAAGATGCTCCACAATATCTGTGTGATTTGATCACAGAGTACAAACCAGCTCGATCACTGCGGTCAGAAAACAAGCTCCTGTTGCAAGTTCCATCTGTCAAATCTGTGAACTATGGACAACGTTCCTTTGCTTTCAGTGCAGCAAAGGAATGGAACGATCTCCCAGTCAATCTCAGACAGTCTTCATCTCTTGCCTCCTTCCAATCTGAGCTAAAGACCTACTTATTTAATAGTGCCTTTCTAGAATGACTCTTAATACCCACATATATGTGCGCTTAGAGCATGCATTGTGCATGGATTAATGCGCTATATAAATTCACTATTATTATTATTATTATTATTTGCGAGTGTATGACTTACGCCATATTTGCAATATTAGAGCAAAATCATGCCGAATTATTGTATATAAATATATTGATTGTAAATATTCTTGATGTGATTTGTGTGTGAGAGTATGACTTATGCCGTAATTGCAATACTAAAGCAAAGTCGCGGCGAATTATTGTATATAAATATATTGATTGTAAATATTCTTGATGTGATTTGATTGTGAGAATATGACTTACGCCGTAATTGCAATACTAAAGCAAAGTCACAGCGAATTATTGTATATAAATATATTGATTGTAAATATTCTTGATGTGATTTGATTGTGAGAGTACGACTTACGCCGTAATTGCAATATTAAGGCAAAATCACGGTGAATTATTGTATACAAATGTAGTGCCTGTAAATATCCTTAATATTATCTGATTGTGAGAATATGACTTACGCCGTATTTGCAATATTGAAGCAAAATCACGGCGAATTATTGTATAATATCTAATTATACCAAATGTCTTTCATGTAAATAAATATGTATATAATGAGAGATTTCTTTTCATTGTCTTATACATCTGATTAGAACTAAAGTTACAAGTTGTGAGAACTTTACTTTTGAATGAACCAGAAAACACATACCAATCTCAACTGTTACTAAAACATACTTTTAACCCCTGAAGGTCCGGGATAGAATGAGCCTTCTGAAACCTATCCTGATGTAAGAGGCGACTAACAGGATCGGGTGGTCAGGCTCGCTGGCTTGGTTGGCACATGTCATCGTAGCCCAATTGCGTAGATCAATGCTCATGCTGTTGATCACTGGATTGTCTGGTCCAGACTCGATTATTTACAAACCGTCACCATATAGCTGGAATATTGCTGAGTGCGGCATAAAACAACAAACAATAACAATAGACATACTTTTAAAATTAGTCATTATTGGAAAATACTTATTGTAATGGATACTTTGTGACAATACATGTAACTTATATTTTTTTTAAAATATGCTTTGAAAATTGTACTTTACACACAATTTTTTTTTAGTTACATTTGAATAACAACCTCATGCAAAGTTTCAAATTACTCAAAAACCAGGAGTCTGGAACACCCTCAATTACTAATTCCTTGTTCAGTAATGAAATGTTGTCTTTATCTGTAATTTAACAAGTAATATAACTACCCTAATTACATTTCATGTTTGAAACATATACTTATATGAAGTAAAAGAAGTCAATGATATCAGTATATTCCAATTTATCTGATTATTCATGTTTGTATTATGGTTCAAAAGTGCACAAGAATATAACAATTTATATACAGGAATAGGAATAAATACAGTTAAGGTGGTCACAGATAATCATAACAAAACCATAACCTGATTTAACTGACACTAATGTTGAAACATTCACTGGATGCTTGGAAGGAGATTGTGATGTTTCAATATACAATAAATATTAACAAGTGTAAATGAAAGTACTGTATTACCTTTATTTTGTTTAAATATAGGTGATGACAGGTTTATTTATATATAGTGGATTAATACAATTTCTTAAAACAATTTCACAGATTTTAGTCTTATTTCATGGAGTGTCTAAGATATTAGCACTTGTAACCTTTGATACCAATTTCTTGTTATGACTGAAATGTTGTTTAATTGCCTTATATTTATTTCCATAATACATAACAACTAATACACATCACTTGTTGTGGGATTAATAAAGGTGAAGTTTTGTATAAATCTTTACTCACTGATATACGCTTTCGTATTTGTTAATTTTTTTATGACAAATACTCAGTAATAGTTATTGGTTTTCATCAGTTTTACCATAACCTATCTAAAGTTCACTTTTGAAACTGGAATAACGTAACCCAAATCAATTTGTGCGGTAAATGTCACGAGCAGGCGCGGACCTAAGAGAAGACATCTAGTTCGCGGCGAACTATTTTCAGGCCCGTTTTTTCAGGCGCGTAAAATTTCGTATAATTCCTATCAAATCATTCAAACATTAACACGTATGCATAGTTAAACAATAATTTAAATTGATATTACCCGCTGAAATGATGTCACCATGTACATGTAAGATGGACATAAACAGGTCACAACACGACCATGGATTGAAAGAAATATATAAACAAAATGTTTCACACTGTTCAGACACAGATCTTCATTTTGACCAAATTTTCAACATTCACGAAATAAAAAATCACAATTAAATCAAATTTACTGCACACATATCAGGTAATACAATAACATTGCGATGTATGCCTTTCTTACTGCATGATAGCAACACAAAGTGACGGGAATTGAAAACTGGAAACATAACCTAAGCATAACGTCTAGAACGTTGAGGTCAATGCGTTTATCGTGTACAAAGTACTACAGTATGGCAGATTCCATGCATTACCCAGCCAAATCCCTCACATTTACCCCACGATTACGACATAAGGTTCTGGCACTTACCTTCTCGGTTGCTGTCGAACTGAATAAAACACTACAGGACCAAATAAAGTAAATCCGAATTCCGACACACCGCTGAACATTGTCGGCGACATTTTTAAATATGCAAAGCTGTCGACAAGTATTTCTGCTTCAAGTATTTTTCTATTTGTTGTGACATTTCTACTTGTATTTACCATAATGGTTGTAAATGAAAATGAAAATATAAACACGTCTTTCACTGATCATGTAGATACGAAACTAACTCTTTCATTCGTCTGTATGCAAATTTCGTCGACGTGTCCGCCATCGCACGGTAGGAGTGTTTTGAGCAACGACTTAATTGAATGGGACCGTAATAAATGCTTTTGGGTGCCAAAGAAGTAAAAGAAAAACTATTCATGGGGGCATGATTGTTTCAACATTTTCTGAAATAACCATTTTAAACATTCAAGTGAATAATGGCCGCTAATAATATAGATTTACTGCACCGAAAAAACTCCAGCAGTGTGTTCAGTTTAGATTCTGAGTTGTTGATTCGTTTACTGCTCTTACAGACAATGTTTTACGTCAAATTTTATATGAGAACGAAGGCAATTAACTGCAGATTTCAAGTATAAGATTTCATTCATATATCACGAAAAGTTTTTCCATTCATAAGCGTTTTCCGACAAGACATCCATGGGAAAACGTTGCAGTGTAACCAATTTACGGGCCAAATGGCGTCATACAAACTTCAACGAATTTGTAATCGACGATTTCGCTGGCTTTATTTCCGCTACATATTTCATTTTCAACATGGTAATTGTGAATCAAACGAGCTTCCATAACATGTTTTCGTTTTGTTTATTACTGCAAATGTACAAGCTAACGAGACACACGAATGATCCGATGAGCAATGCACAAAAAATGGCTGCCGTGGAAATTCTGGAAAAAATACATATTCTACATTTTTGACGAGCTATTTCTTAGGTATAATGAAGCCAATGCCATAAAATATTTACATAGACATAACGGGAATTAAATGAACTTTTACAGTGTGGATTTTGAACATTGTGAGTAACGCCGATGCTGTTTGACGTACATTTTAGACGAATGTATGCAATTTTCATAACGTCTTGCTCAAATAAACTCGGCACAGCGACAACACACGGCTATTTCTATGTGGCAGCCAGGGGGTTAAGTAACCTCAGCTATTGGTTCTGTCAAAAATTCACGTTATAGTTTATAAAAACTACACTAGACACATTACACAGGTCATGATAGGAAGTTTGAAGAAGAAATGTGCCTGGATGGGTAGATGTGATCGCGTCAGATGGTCACCTCACCTCATCAAACCAAGCCATACCACGCCATACCACATTACATCACGTTATGCCATGCCATACCACATCATGCCATGCCACGCCCAGGAGGAAACTGCCATTTAGCCGAGAAGCACATTTTCTTACGCCAAAACGTTGAGCACATTTTTTTCTAAAACAAAATGCCATCCTCACTTTTCCATATTTGCAATACGTTACTAAAAAAAGTACTGACTTAAGCTCCACATTGGCTGAACCTGATAGCCCGAAAATCTGATGGTTGTAAGAGTTAGTGATGTCCCTTTGTTGATACGATGCAAGTTAATATCTTAAGCGCCAGTCAAGAAGGAAAAGCAATAAACGTCATCATGACATCCCCATACGGATTTCTACTACTAATATCCGATTGGTTGTCTACTAGTAACCTTTGTGTATTTACTATGATATTCTGAACTGAGGCAAGTGAACCGTCCTCTCGCAATCATACCCATTATGCTGACAGGGTGGCTCTTGTTAAAATATGAAAAACATAAATAACAATCTACGATTCAGCTTATAATATACTCATAAAAGTGATATTATGTTAATTTTCATTTGTCAGCATACAAATCAATTGGTGAAAAGCGAACGCTTTTAAAAATGCTTTTTAAAAATTCTCTCCTCTGATCAGCACCTTGGCATTAAAGAGATTTTTTTTAAAGTTTACTTTGGGAGAGGAGACCACTTGCATGTATAGGTATGGGTGAGTCCCTGACAATGCGGCACGGCACGGCACGGCACGGCACGAAGACACATCTCATCCACACATGTTCTATATCTGATTCTGAACAACTAGTGAATTGTGTCTGGTGCTGTGATAAAGAATTGCGGATCTCATGACATCTATAGGTTTACACACCATGCACACACAATGCGGCGCCGAAGCTGCAACACAGGCGATGGTGAACACCCACAAAAACGAGCAGCACTGGTGTGTGTTCCTGCCCTTGTACCCTACCACAGACACTATTACGTTACATCCCCCATGAGATCATCAAAGCATATTCCGCCACTGTGTCACTGCTACATTACCGCCCAGTCTGTGAATATGCCTAATTTTCACAGAAACAAATAATTCGTTTCAAACTGAAAAGGGGTGGAAGTGATACTCGAAATTCAGAGCCTGAGTAAATCTGGACTTGATTCATTTTGGGACTTTAGGATTGCTGAAAGGGTTGGGTGGAATTTTTAAGGGGATATAATGCTGTTCAGGGGCTGTGACACTGTGTCACTGCGGGCACCATACATTGTCCCAGATGTCAGAAATGATGACAATGATGATGAGACAAGGTGCATGCTCAAAGCGTATAACTCTGTGTTTTCAGGTATCACTTAGACAAATTAGGTTCAGGTCACTCTGTAGGAGGGGCGGTGGGGTAGCCTAATGGTTAAAGCGTTGGCTCGTCACGCCGAAGACCCGGGTTCGAATTCCCACATGGGCACAATGTGTGAAGCCCATTTCTGGTGTCCCCCGCCGTGATGTTGCTGGAATATTGCTAAAAGTGGCGTAAAACCAAACTCAGTCAGTCAGTCACTCTGTAGGAAGCGAGATGAGATGTTATTCACCTGGTCATGAGTAGTTTGGAGAACGGCTCTCTTTCAGATATTTCTCTGGCGCTTCAGTCAGTTTGCAAACTGGCAGCCAAGCAAACTGATTGAAGCGCCGGAAAATATCTGAAAGAGAGCCGTTCTCCAAACGACGGAGCCCAAGTTTTAGACGGTGGTGGCCTGGGCCTTCTTTCACAAAGCACTAAGGTGATCGTAAGTCACTAAGGTAACCTTAGAGCAATGTTAAAGAATGGGAGTTAAGGTTAACTTTAGTAAAGGTTGCTTCGTGAAAGGAGCCCCTGGTCATTGGTGTTCGTTCACGTGTCGAACCTGCTCACTTCACCTTATCCATTCACGAGCGTACCAAAGTACCAAGATGCACAGCACAGCACAGCACAGCCACATGGTGCTAGGAAATACTTACCAGCAGCAATTAATATTAACTGCTGTTGTTGTTGTTGTTGAATGATGGTGTATATATACACATCAGCCTCTACATGCTCAACGGTAAATTGTGAACGTGTACCTAAACATGTAAATAGAAAAAGAATAAGAAATTCCCCTAGGTAGATGATTTCCGTCGACGGTTGCTCTCCAAAGATACTGATAATCAGATGGTGTAGCATGTCGATACTCAATGTAGTCAAGGGCAAGCAAACCAGTGGTCGATAGCACGAGCAAAGAATCCATTAAGAGAAGGGCACCCAGCAGAGTGTTTCAAGTCCTGACATATTGTACCTATACCAGCAGCCATGGCATGCCGTCATGCACTTCATGATCATGAAACCCGTCATGTATACGTAGTACCTACACCGGGTAGTTTGTATCATACAGAAAGTTGGACAGCACACGCGGGTAAAAACAACAAACAAACAAACAAATAAACAAACAACGATACAAAGAAGATTCCCTTCGGGTGTCAAGACAGGAACAGGCATCGTTCGTATTTTCCATGTGTTGATAGTGTTGACATAATATTATATTGGTATATGTGTGGCCGCTGATACCATGTCCAACATTGTGCAACATTATCCGGAGCCAAGCTGCCATACTGCCTTACTACCTATACGATATGAGCTTCCTTCCACCCCTCCATTAATACAATGTAGAAAGACTTTGAACAGTGTTTATTAATGTTGCTCCATCAGGTAGATAAACTTGCTGCAGATTGCTGGACACCAGTTATAAATAATTCCAGGATATGTCTGTGATAAATGGCTACTTTTCAGTGATTTGTGTCGTCAAAACAGCTGTCATGAATGGCTTAGTTTGTTTGTTTGTTTGCCTAACGCCACATTCCACACGGCGATCTGTAAATAATGCAGTCTGGACCCCACAATCCAGTGATCAACATCATGAGCACCAATGTACCTAATTGTGATACGATGACATGTCAACCAAGTGAGAGAGAGCTTGAACACCCGACCAATTCTGGGCTGGCAGGGCAGGGCAGGGCAGGGCAGGGCAGGGCAAACAACAACAACAAAAAATACTGGCATAGCTTATAATTTCCAATCATGTTTATATAATAAATAATCGAACACGTGTGGCTGTTGTGATAATGATACAATGTACATAGCATGTCCGACGTTGTCCAACATTGTGCAACATTATACCGAGCCAAGCGGCCACACTGCCTTACTACTCGTACGATATGAGATTATTTCCTCCCCTCCACTGATACAATGTTGTAAGTCTTTGAACAGCGTTTGTTAATGTTGCTGCATCCTACTTGTGTTAATGTGCCGGCACTATTCATTAGCTGTGGCTGCCTGATTAACTTGAGGCGAGCTGTCAGTGTTGCATTCACCTCCGATAAAATTGTCTGCATATTTAGTGGAAACGTTTGGCTACGTACACCAAGCCTAATGAAGAGACGATACATCCTGCCTTATCGCCCACACTGAATAACTTTCACACAAGCCCCTATATATACTGAGTACGCGTACGTGCGTGTGCGCGAGCGAGCGTGGGAAAGGGGCGTGTAGGGAAAGAAGGAGGATAAGGAGAACGGAAAAGAGGAGCGAGTGAGTGAGTGTTTATATATGGTATTACGCCGCTTTTAGCAATATTCCAGCAATATCACGGCGGGGGACACCAGAAATGGGCTTCACATTGTACCCATGTGGGGGAATCGAACCTGGGTCTTCGGCGTGATGAGCGCACACTTTAACCACAATGCTACCTGTTAAACAACAAAAGAACAACTAAACAAATCATCACTTTTTGAATAATCAATTACTAAAACCAAGTTTGAGGAGAAGACCGGAAGTAATGGAGGAGACCGGAGGGAGGGGCTTTGGGGGGGGGATAGAGAAAGTGATTGGTCTTCTGCTCTTTGCTGGTCTCCTTGAACTACATTTTCTGTTATTATGCTTCCTATTTCCAAAATGAACATGCAAGGAGAGTCAGCATCTACTCTCTTGCCTTTAAAACACGTGTAACGTCATTATAACGTTCCAGCGTAACTATCTGTGTTTCTGCTTTGTACCCTGCCCCCTCTAAATGTTCTCCTCCATTTTAAAAAGTATCAGGGACGAGTGATGAGATTTAACATAGGCACCATGTGACGCCATTATTACCGTTTATCTCTATCAGCACACACACACAATCTGCAACTCATATCCTCACTGGCTATAAGTAAATAAAGCCGTATCTTAGACGTGTGGGTCAAGCAGTGGGGTAACCCTTGTTTTCAACAACTCCATACGTTCTGCGGCCAGTGCCATAGGCACAAAATCTATCAGGATGCAGGGACGGAGGTGTGACGTACACCGATCACTGTATAACACGATTACTGGTTCCCACAGATGTCAAATCGTAGCCACTCCACTAAGCTTTTGGACTAAGAAATCCTGCCTTCATGGCTCACCTCCTGTCCACTACTATTGCCCCCCCACCCCCGATGGTGCTGGAATATTGCTAAAAGAGGCGTAAAACCATACTCACTCACTCTTCCCACATGTGTTTGTCATTCTTATAAAATGTCAGTCTTATAAAATGTGAAACTACCAAAGCGTATCCGCTCACATTGGGGAACTTTGAATTGGAATAGGTTGGTTCACCATTGGAATAGCGTCCGTATCCACAACAAATTTTCTCCATGTGGTCTGAGTTACATTGACCTAGTGTTTAGCATAACGGAGTTATGCCCCCTTATCATTATAGGTGTATGGCCTCTCTGTCGTCGTTTGACTTCATAGAAGAAAATCCATTTTTGACATTTATTGGGAGTCATTTTTAGTGTTGAGCGTATAACGTTATGCAAAAGCAAATAAACCCAATTCATATACACTTATGTCGTTCAGATATCAGGCTGTATTTTCTTCGCTCACACTTTCCGTAAAGATGCCAAATTTAAAAATTCGTAGCATAGTGTTTTTATGGGTGCGCGATATAAAGCTGAGAAATTTGCTGTTTTTTTAATAAAATATAACAAAAACTTGGACAACATTTAGCAAGGTCTATTTCTCAAACTGCCGAGGTAGTTGCATCCATCGGGTAGGAAATTTAATATTCTACATTTCTCTGTAAGTTTATAGCCGTACGTAGATCCAGGACCACGCGAGCGCAATTCTCGCACAACGTTTACTGTTCAAACCGTATGAAAGTGTGCGCCTGAAAAAAAACTCGGCATCCAGGGGGCAAAGCTCCACATTGGCTGAACCTGACAGTTCGAAAATCTGATGGGTGTAAGATCATGTCCCTTTGTTCATACGACGCAAGCGAATATTTTAAGGGTCAGCCAAGAAGGAAATGCTATTAACGTCATCATGACATCCCCATACGGATTTTAACTACATGTACTAATATCCTATTGGCTGTCTACCAGTAACTTTTGTGTATGTACTATGATAAACTGAACTGAGGCAAGCGAACCGTCCTCTCACAATCATGCACACAATCTACGATTCAGCATGTAAATATACACATAAAAGTCATATTATGTTAATTTTCATTTGTCAGCATGCAAATCGATTGGTGAAAACTATTATTTATAAATTCTCTCCTGATCAGCACCTTGGCATTAAAGAGAATGTTTTAAAAATTAATTTTGAGAGGACACCACTTGTATGTATATGTATGGGTGATATACAATACAATACAATACAATACGAAACGTTACGGCAGGGCAAGGCAGGGCAGGGCAGGGCAGGGCAGGGCCACTGGGTGACTCATTCGTCACCACTCGCCCCTTTCCGTAACCTCCAAGAAGACTAGGGGCGGTGGGGTAGCCTTGTGCTTAAAGCGTTGGCTCGTCACGCCGAAGACCCAGGTTCGAATCCCCACATGGGTACAATGTGTGAAGCCCATTTCTGGTGTCCCCCGCCGTGATGTTGCTGGAATATTGCTAAAAGCGGCGTTAAACCAAATTCAGTCAATCAGTCCAAGAAGACTCGTCCCCCACTCGATACTTGTTATGTGCGAAAATACGACAGACAAATCAGCACGCGCGTAAATGAGCGCGGTGCTTTGGTAAAAATAATCCCGAGTACTTAAATTGTTTATGGCATTATGTCATTGTTTAAAGAATCATGAAAAATATATATCGTTATATTGAAAGTACAAAGAACATAGCTAAAAGGATTTTGCTGCCTATTATAAAGTTTTTAATAAGAATCATGCCATTGACGGTGAGAGATTCAAATACAGGCACGTGCATTTGTTGACATCACTGCTCTCATGGGTCCAACCGAGTGTATTTCTGACGATCTTGCGGGCTTGTTATGGAGATTGTACGTGCGCTTCGATCAATTTTAGGAAATGTAATTATAATCGCTATGAGTTTCAAAACAATAATATCGTATTTGTCTGTAACTAATCAACTTTAATCTTTAACATTGGGCTTATATTTCATAGCTCTGGGGATATTTTAGTCTGAGTGTTTTTTGGTCATTCATATTTGTTTCAGCGAATTCATTTGAAATTCCACCAGGGTGTGACAGAAAGGTTACACGAATATTCAGTTTGAGAAATATTTTAAAGTCATTTTTTTGAGTATCTGCTTTGGGATTTAATGTAGCTGATTTTTTGTTGTTGGTATATTCAATAAAACAATTCCCATTTGTGATAATTAAACCCTATTAAGAAAATAAAAAATTGGAAATATAAGGTGAACGGCTGTATCAAAGAGGTTTAATTATTTAGAATAAGAAAGTGTAAAAAAACCCACCAAAACCAACAACCTAGCAATACAATGTACATGTGCTTCGGTGATATTAAGAAACTTTGGAATCAAACAGGGATTGGGTATCATTTTTTTAAAAGTAGTTCTGATGTTCATGCGCCAATATGAAATCCTTCCAGAGGGGCACGAGTCGCTATTCGGCTTGTCCCGGAATAACACGAGTTGGTCACGAATGTGTGTGACTGTTGCATTAACGTCTTTTAATGTGCCTAATTTTCACAGAAACAAATAATTCCTTTCAAAATGAAAAGGGGTCGAAGTGAGACTCGATATTCAGAACCTGAGTAAATCTGGGCTTGTTTCATTTTGGGACTTGGGAGGGGAGATAATGCTTTTGAGGGGCTGTGACACTGTGTCACTGAGGGCTCCATACATTGTCTCAAATGTCAGAAATGATGATAATTATGATGCTAATTATGATGATGATGATGATGATGATAAGACAAGGTGCATGCTCAAAGCGTATAATTTACAATTAGGTTCAGGTCACTCTGTAGGAAGCGAGATGAGATGAGATTCACCAGTCCTGGTCATGAGTAGTTTGGAGAACGGCTCTTGGTAGATATTTTTCTGGCGCTTCAGTCAGTTTGCAAGCTGGCAGCCAAGCAAACTGACTGAAGCGCCAGACAAATAGCTGAAAGAAAGAGAGCCGTTCGCCAAACTACGGAGCCCAAGTTTTAGACGGTGGCCTGGTCACTGGTGTTCGTTCACGGGTCGAACCTGTTCACTACACCTTATCCATTGACGAGCGTACCAAAGCACCAATGTACAGCACAGCACAGCACAGCACAGCACAGACACATGGTGTTAGGAAATACTTACCAGCATCAATTAATATTAACTGCTGTTGTTGAATGATGGTGTATATACACATCAGCCTCCACACGCTCAACGGTAAATTGTGAACGTGTACCTGAATATGTAAATAGAAAAAAAAAGAAAAAAAGAGATTAGAAATTCCCCAAGGTAGATGATTTCCGTCCACGGTTGCTCTCGAACATACTGATAATCAGATGGTGTAGCATGTCGGTACTTCATGTAGACAAGGACAACAAACCAGTGGTCGATAGCACGAGCAAGAATCCATGCAGAGAAGGGCACCCAGCAGAGTGTTTCAAGTCTTGACATATTGTACCTATACCAGGTGCCGTGCCGTGCCGTGCCGTGGGCAGGGCAGGGCAGGGCAGGGCAGGGCAGGGCAGGGCAGGGCAGGGCAGGGCAGTTTGTGTCATACAGAAACGAACAAACAACGATACAAAGAAGATTTGGTCGGGTGTCAAGACAGTAGCAGGCATCGTTCGTATTTTCCATGTATTGATTGTGTTGAAATAATATTATATTGGTATATGTGTGGCCGCTGATACCATGTCCAACATTAAGGAACATTATGCAACATTATCTTGATCCAAGCTGCCATACAGCCTTACTACCTATAGGATATGAGCTTCCTTCCACCCCTCCATTCATACAATGTAGAAAGACTTTGAACAGTGTTTATTAATGTTGCTGCATCCCTTCAGGTAGTAAAACTGGCTGCAGATTGCTGGACACCCGTTATAAATAATTCCAAGATATGTCTCTGGTAAATGGCTACTTTTCAGTGATTTCAGTCATGAATGGCTTGGTTCGTTCGTTGTTTAACGCCACACTCCATACGGCGGTGTGTAAACATTGCAGTCTGGACCCATCAATCCAGTGATCAACATCATGAGCACCAATGTACGTAATTTAGATACGATGACATGTCAACAAAGTGAGGGGAGCCTCAACAACAACAACAACAACAACAACAACAACAACAACAACTACAACTACAACTTCAACAACAACTACAAATACAGGTTATAGCTTATAATTTATTCCATTCATGTTTATACAATAAGGGGCGATGGGGTAGCCTAGTGGTTCAAACGTTGGCTCGTCACGCCCAAGACCCGGGTTCGAATCTCCACATGGGCACAATTTGTGAAGCCCATTTCTGGTGTCCCCCGCTGTGATGTTGCTGGAATATTGCTAAAAGCGACGTAAAACCAAATTCAGTCAGTCAGTCAGTCAGTCAGTTTATACAATAAAACATTCGTAGTGTTGATAACGACACAATGTACATAGCATGTCCGACGTTGTCCAACATTTTGCAACATAAGCCGGAGTCAAGCGGCCATTCTGCTTTACCACCCGTGAGATTCGAGCTTTATTAATGTGGAGTAGGTAGCACTTCTCTTAAATGTATCCCTAGGTATCGTTCATACTTTATGGCAATGTGCGTGCGTGCGTGCGTGCGTGCGTGCGTGCGTGCGTGCGTGCGTGCGTGAGTGCTTGAGAGTGCGTGTGTGTGTGTGAGAGAGAGAGAGAGAGAGAGAGAGAGAGAGAGAGAGAGAGAGAGAGAGAGAGAGAGAGAGAGAGAGAGAGAGAGAGAGATATTTCTCAGTCCAACAAGACAACACTATATGTATTCATTTCTCGCTAAGACAGTAATCAGAGAATATTTCTATAAATAGGAATAGGAATATGAACAATTCCAAGTCGGACAGGGAATCCAACAGCTAATCCTTAAGATGAAAGGTGATGCCACCAGAGTAACAGCCAGCAGCAGGACCCAATGTTGGTTTATTACAAGAGACATGGATGAGCTCCCGCACGCACGCACGCACGCACGCACGCACGCACGATGTCCCACTCGTCAATATCGAACAAACAATATATTTATTGTTGATTGATTGAGTAACTATGGTACTGTGTACATCATGTCCAACACTGTAGCACATGATCCAGGCGCAAACGGGCAGTGAGCCTTCCAAGCCTATATGATATGAGTTGTTATTCACCTACCATTACTACAATGTAGGAAAGAAGGTGTTTAAGTGTTACATTGACGGCTGATGAAACTGTCTGTAGTGGGTAATAGGAAGGTTATACTTGCCTGCCACTATTAATATGGCAGAGACGACAGTGACGTTGACCTTGCCCAAATGTAGAGCTGTCAAACCCAAGCAATATGAAACAGCCGGTGGGTTTATGCCCCGAACAGCATATCTTGCCCATGTACAACACCAGCCACTTGTCAACCTCCTCCACTAGATCGGTGTTTGTTGGGAAGGTTGTTGGGAAGGTGGGAAGGTGGAAAGATGGGTGGGTGGGTGTGTGGGTCGATCAATCGATCAATCGATCGTTCGTTCGTTCGTTCGTTGTGAGTGAGGGGGTAGGTAGGTAGGTAGGTAGGGAGGGAGGGAGGGATTAGAGAGAGAGGAGGGAGAAAAGAATGAATGAATGAATGAATGAATGAATGATCAATCGAACAAACAAACAAACAAACAAACAAACAAAACAAAACAAAACGAACTAACAACAACATTTCGTCTGGTATCAAGACAGTAAGGCAGTTGGTATTTTTCATGCAGCAATCGTGTTGATATAATACATAATATATGTGTATGTGTGGCGGTTGTGACTCCGATACCATGTCCGACGTTATTCAACATTGTGCAACATTATAGCGAGCCAAGCGGCCACACTGCCTTACTACCGGTACGATATGAGATTGTTTCCTCCCCTCCAATGATACAATGTTGTAAGTCTTTGAACAGCGTTTGTTAATGTTGCTGCATCTATTCATTAGCTGTAGCTACCTGATTACCTTAAGGCGAGCTGCTCCGTGTCACAAATAACGTACATGCACCCCCTCCCACCCTGCACATCTGAGCAAGACATCAGCTCTATTTGAATATTCTCATTGTTATGAATGCATGAAGCTTGAGATGCTCTTATACCCTGTGCATCGTGTCCAACACTGTACAACACTGTACAACATTATCCAGAGGCAAAGGGCCAGTCAGCCTTCCAAGCTTTCATGATATGAGTTTTACACACTGCTACCATCGCTACAATGTAGAAAGGAGGTGTGTCAGTGTTGCATTCACGTCTGACAAAATTGTCTGTATATTTAGTGGAAACGTTTCGTTACGTACACCATCCTGCCTTATCACCCACACTGCTTAACTTCCACACCAGCCCCTATGCATACATACATACATACATACATACATACATACATACATACATACATACATACATACATACATACATACATACATACATACATACATACATACATACATACATACATACATACATACATACATACATACATTAGGGAGGGATATACAACAACAGATAATATCTTTATACTGTATAGCCTAATACAAAGATACCTCAGCTCAAAAGGTGGAAAGTTCTACGCACTATTCGTTGATTTTGCAAAGGCTTTCGATTCTGTGCAGCGGGATAAACTATGGAGACTTCTACAATCGCACGGTCTTAGTAGTAAAATGAATAAAATGTTGAAGAGTATATACGAAAATGTTAAAGTGTGTGTAAGGAATCAACATGACTTATCTGAACCTTTCATTAGTGAACTAGGTGTTAGACAAGGCTGTATTTTAAGCCCTTTCCTTTTTACGTTTTTCATTAATGAATTAGCAATACAAATATGTGACACATGTACGAATGGGATTCAACTACACCCAGATACAATACAACTATTTCTGTTACTCTTTGCCGATGATATTGTACTGTTTTCTAGTACTGTTAGCGGTTTACAGAAACAAATAGATGAATTAGACACATTTTCTGACCAATATAAATTGTGTGTAAACAGAGACAAAACCAAAATTATCGTCTTTAAGAAAGGTGGCAAACTCTCTAAATTAGAAAAATGGTATTATAAAGGGCAACTACTCAAAACTACCAGTGTTTATAAGTATCTTGGTGTATATTTTTGTAATAGCCTTTCCTGGTCCAAACACACAAAACAAGCGTCAGCACAAGCCTTGAAAATCCTAATCGGTGTTTGTAAAAATATGAGATCGTTGGGTGAAATGTCCTTTCACACATTCTTTAAAATATTCGATATGAAGATAAGTCCAATACTTCTATATGGCTCTGAGATATGGGGATTACAACAATATGACAGTATTGAAAGAGTTCATTTATATGCATGCAAAAAGGTTCTTGGTGTAAAACCGAACACATGTAATAGGATGGTTTACGGAGAATTAGGTAGATTCCCCTTGTTTATATACTCTTCCATTAAAGCCATAAAGTGAGTGATATTAGGGAGTTGTTGTACAAAACTGGTTATGGTTATGTGTGGTGTGATCACAATGTTCAGTTGCATACCAATTTTATCATATCCTTTACACAAAGAATGAAAGATATCTATTTCCAGTCTTGGTCGGAATCACTACTTCTATCCACAAAATGTTTATACTATAACCAATGGAAATCGGACATACGTTTTGAAGACTATTTAGCAAAAATCGGCGTAAAGAAGTTCCGTATAGCTCTCTCTCGTTTTCGTTGCTCTTCCCATGAATTATTTATTGAAACTGGCAGGTATGCAGGTATACAAAGAGAAATCAGAATATGTCAGTTATGTAATATGAGTACTGTTGAGGATGAACTACATTTTCTTCTAATCTGTCCTGCTTATACGACTCTACGAACAAAATACCTAAAGCCATACTATTATAAGCATCCAAGTGTAAGAACATTAATTTCACTATTAACAGATACTACCACATCAATATTACAGAATCTGGCAATGTACATCTATTTCGCTATGAGATTAAGAAAAAGTAATGTTACAGAAAAGAATTTATAAATGATTTCTATCTACTCATGTAAACTTTAAATGTACTACAGGCCTGTGGCCTTTTAAGTACTGAAATAAAGATTGATTGACATACATACATACATACATACATACATACATACATACATACATACATACATACATACATACATACATACATACATACATACATACATACATACATACATACATACATACATACACACACACACACACACACACACACACACACACACATACATACATACATACATACATACATACATACATACATACATACATACATACATACATACATACATTCATACATACATACATACATACATACATACATAGTGCGTGCGTGCGTGCGTGCGTGCATGCGTGCGTGCGTGCGTGAGTGAGTGAGTGAGTGAGTGGGTATGGTATCGTATTACTCCGCTTTTAGCAATATTCCAGACGTATCACGGCGGGGAAGACCAGAAATGGGTTTCACACAATGTACCCATGTGGGGAATCGAACCCCTGTCCTCGGCGTGACTATGCAACGCTTTAACCACAATGGTACCTGCTAAACAACAAACAACAAAGGAACAACCAGTAAAATCATCTCTTTATGACAAATAGGATAAGGAGCGGATGAAAAGACCGGGTGGGGTTGGGGTTGGGGGGGAAGAGAGAGGGGAGGGGAGGAGAAAGAGTCAGGGAACCGAAAGTGGCAAAACCGGAAGTGAGAGGACCGGAAGTGACGGCAGAACCGGAAGTGGCGAGAGAACCGGAAGTGAGAGGACAGGAAATGGAGGAGAACCGGAAGTGGAGACGGCGAGGGCCGTTTTTTGCCCACCACCCTTTACGAGCAAACACCCCCTTTACGATCCTTAGCCCTTGGATCCCCTTTCCGATCAAACACCCCTTTTGGATCCTTAGGGTTAGTTTTCTTTAAGGGTAAGGGTAGGTTACCTAGAAACTGTAAGTGTGTGGGTTTCACTTGGAATTTGTAGAAATTCATCTTGTTTTGAAGTATTTAAGAAAAAAGCTTTCAACTGTCTTTGGTGTTTTAAATGATTATTTGTAGTAATAGCAAGAATATAAAGTTAATGTATTATCTGTTGGTGGAACATGTAATCCTGTTTATATTTCTGGTGTTCCCCAACGTTATATTGCTGGAATATTGCTGAGTCACTCACTAACATGATTTCTAAATTTTACATACAAGTCAGTAAAGGAATATTTCATAATTTAATGTTTTCATTCCATGTGATACTATTTCAGTTGTTCTTTGTTTCTATTACTGATAACCACATCTTTCAAAGTAATGTTTGCATTTTTGTTGAGAAATGATTATTAGTCTGTTTGACGTAAGCGTTGTTTTTAAATTCTGCAATTATTGATCCTCGTATAGCTAGTAGGATGAACTTAGGATATAACACAGGGCTGGTGTACATAGAACTTACATATACATGTATTATGTTTCCACATTTTGTGCTATGCAAAACCGGACAGTCTTCATTGAGACAAGATATATGCATACAAGTATTTGCCTACAATTTAAGTCTTGATTTCTCTCTAATAAGGCCATGACAAGCTGTAAACATAGGTGTCTCATTCATATACGCCAAGATTGGTTTGGTATTAATATGGTTAAAGTACAAGTTGCATGTATTAATAGATTGTCCAGGATTCAGGAGTTATCTTTCCTTGACCAAAATATCTCATATATGTCTCAAAAAGGCTTTTACTGAAAATAAAGGAAAATCTAGGTGACACAGACTGTTCTGAAAATAATCTTTTGATCAGAAACACTTTTTAACATTTCATGGCCAGATGCTTCACTGCGGTGGTCTATAGTGTTTTCCTAGAAATAGTTGAAATATCCAATGTTTTCCTGCAGTTGTGATAAAGAGTTTTAGTAGCAGAGAGGTAGTTCATATGTGGATGAATCTGTTCATTGTAGATATGCATGAACCCTATTGTCACTTGTGAACATATACTCATGGAAACAAATAAGGGAACACACGAAAGTACAAGTGATCCTTTATTCTTTTCCAGGTTTCTTCACAAGGTATGTATAGCACTGTGAGTGACATTCTGGAAATAAGGAAGGAACACTTGTACTTTCATGTGTTCCCTTATTTGTTTCTATGAGTATATATGTATTAATATGTGTAAGACTGGCATCTGTAATGATTCACTGGGGTCTTTGTCCATAGTATGGATATAACATGCTACTTTCAATGTTACAAGAACAGGTTATGATCGTGATAGTCATAATTGATGCACCAGTATCACTTGGTGTAAGACTTGCCAGGAACATGTGATCGTGGGTTTGAATTCCATACTGTTTCTAAGTCTGTCTGTCTGTCTGTCTGCTTCTTAAAATGTTCATGGCCAGCTCCAAGTAGTCAGCATGTAAGACGTGCATGTCGTGAGGATTTCCTCATGCATCAGGCTGTGTGGTGGCTGAAGTACAGGGTGACGTTCAACCCATTTCACTCCAAGAACATACTGATGTATAAACAACACAAAACCTCAAGAATAACTAACAGCATCACTTGACTTTGAATGACGATATCTCAAATGACTCTGACACTGAGATGGTACATTTCAGACGAAATCGAAATCGGCTTCATACCCATCATAGATCTCAGTCTTACATCTATATGCATGTTCCCAGTTTCTCAACCAACCTTTGTACATCATAACTGCCAAACTTGCCTTCTTCAAACACTGTAACAAAGACCATGTACTCAGTGTTCCAAGACTGGAAGCCAGGGGTGCTTGTGATGATCCTGGTTGTGAAGACTTGGGGGCTTCTCAGATTCCATAGCAGCCTAGCCACAGGACCCCTGGACTCCCATTAATTATAAACACTGTAATGCCAAATAATGTATTCTGTATTCTGTGTCTGTGTATTGGCTCCTACTGTCTGGCTGAATTTGAATCGGCAGTTCATCAATTTTGTATGTCTCCTCCCTGATTGTATGACAGACTCAAATTCTGAAGACTTGGAAAAGTTCTTCAGATGCTTGTAACTCCTGAAAATATTTGTTGATGGATTTGGACTCGACATCAGTTTTGTTTTACACTCCAGGTTCTATCATGGAACAATTGATTCCCATGCATACCTGGCCGCACTGGTGTAAGTTCAAACCCCTATTTCACCTACACTGAGCACGAAACTGAAAGGTTGCTGAATTTTGATCCATAAACCACATTTGAGATACCTTTGGAATGTGTCCTCGGAACCAAACTGATGTTTATTGCCTGCAGGTTCAGAAAGTTCTGTGAAGTTTGAAGGAAATGAGTACACTGGTTGCCTAGTTACAACCTCACATCAATATGTCAGATCTCTTAGCAAAGTTTGTAAATATTTGTAAAGTATTTTTGTCCACCACAGAAATTAGAGTCTCTGCTAATAGTCTAGATTGTACTGTATAGTCTTGAATAGACAAGTGAAAAGACTTCACATCTAGGCTTCAACAAAAGAATATTATTCCTGAGAATACACTTGAAACATAATTTACCAAGAAAATGAAAAGAAACAGGCAGCGTCCATCCTAAATGCAGTGTGTAGTGGTCAGATAATCTGTAGAACTTCTACAGATATACCAAATAAAAGTGTTTTGGATCATAGACATATTGGGGATATGAGGTCATTGCATTTAGCTTCCTAAAGTCATAAAAGGTGATTAGGTGGTTATATAGCTGCTGTGAACATATGCAGAACATATGTTGATATTTATGCAAATATTTCTTGTTACATATTCAAGAAAAAGAAAAATTTGAGAAGAAAAATAAGAATAATGAAAAGTTCATTTGTTCAAACAGTAAGCCTTGTGTTCATTGTTGAACTAGCTACGATTGCAGGATGTGTTGATCATTGAACAAGCTAGAAGTTGGCAGTTCACAGATTATTGAACAAGCTAGGATTGCAGGATGTGTTGATCATTGAACAAGCTAGGATTGCAGGATGTGTTGATCATTGAACTAGCTAGGATTGCAGGATGTGTTGATCATTGAACTAGCTAGGATTGCAGGATGTGTTGATCATTGAACTAGCTAGGATTGCAGGATGTGTTGATCATTGAACAAGCTAGGATTGCAGGATGTGTTGATCATTGAACTAGCTAGGATTGCAGGATGTGTTGATCATTGAACAAGCTAGGATTGCAGGATGTGTTGATCATTGAACTAGCTAGGATTGCAGGATGTGTTGATCATTGAACAAGCTAGGATTGCAGGATGTGTTGATCATTGAACAAGCTAGGATTGCAGGATGTGTTGATCATTGAACAAGCTAGGATTGCAGGATGTGTTGATCATTGAACAAGCTAGGATTGCAGGATGTGTTGATCATTGAACTAGCTAGGATTGCAGGATGTGTTGATCATTGAACTAGCTAGGATTGCAGGATGTGTTGATCATTGAACAAGCTAGGATTGCAGGATGTGTTGATCATTGAACTAGCTAGGATTGCAGGATGTGTTGATCATTGAACAAGCTAGGATTGCAGGATGTGTTGATCATTGAACAAGCTAGGATTGCAGGATGTGTTGATCATTGAACAAGCTAGGATTGCAGGATGTGTTGATCATTGAACTAGCTAGGATTGCAGGATGTGTTGATCATTGAACTAGCTAGGATTGCAGGATGTGGATCATTGAACTGGATTGATCATTGAACTAGCTAGGATTGCAGGATGTGTTGATCATTGAACTAGCTAGGATTGCAGGATGTGTTGATCATTGAACTAGCTAGCATTGCAGGATGTGTTGATCATTGAACAAGCTAGGATTGCAGGATGTGTTGATCATTGAACTAGCTAGGATTGCAGGATGTGTTCATCATTGAACTAGCTAGGATTGCAGGATGTGTTCATCATTGAACTAGCTAGGATTGCAGGATGTGTTCATCATTGAACAAGCTAGGATTGCAGGATGTGTTCATCAAGCTAGGATTGAAGTACTGTAGTGCATGCTGGTATCACAGTACCTACTCTTGGTCTCATAGTAGTAGTTCCATAATCTAGGGTCTGCCAGTGAAAGTTGGAATGGTGGTAATGACAACCTGTATCTGACTTGTTGGACTGACAGCTGTGGCACAAATGAAAACAAAAGTATGACAGTCCTAGTTGGAGACATTTTGTTTAAAATGTTGATGTCCAACTGAAGTGTCCATTCTTCAGGTGTGAAGCTCACTGTACAGAATGACGTCTGCCAGGATCCAACCTGGTTATGATCCTCAGTTTCTGTGCACTTTGTTCACCAAGGTCAAGGACGGACCTGCATCAGTTTGGACTTTCTCCCCTTCAATTTGATGGTTCTGTGTTTGGATCGATGACCTATTGTGTTTTCATCTGCACAAGGTTGGATTATCAGGGTACTATAAACTGACAATGTGTGGAAGTGTGATCCATACATCGAACAGTTTCATGTCAACTTGCACTTTGAAAGCTGACCAGCCTGTATGTTTAAAGGGGAGAATCTTCCAATGGGTTGTTTTTATAAACAAGAACATTTGCATGAGTAAGATGTTCAAAATTATTTCAAAACATCAAATCTATTTCAAACTAATGGTCCTTGTTCTTCAACTTTTCTCTGCTTTGGCATAAACTCATGTCATCAAAAACAAATGCTAGCTTTTATGCTACTGAGGTGTCAATATCTAAGTTTAAAATATTTGAGCCACAATTTAGATAGAATTAATTTATGGTCAGTAAGCAATTTACAACAGAGCCAGAGAAATGACATAATTGTACAGATTTCTTTAATAGCACCTGTAAAAGCAGTCAGGTTGTCTTGGATGTATATAGATCTATCTTATGCACTTCATGCCAAAACTTTCCAAGTTCTGCCAAAAGAATTGTCTTATTCAAGGCAATTTTTTTGTCAGCAATGATGAGAAATACTTGGCTTAAAATGTCTGTGGCTTTTGTGTACCTCCACTTGAACCCTTTCACTCCCTAACTGTTGTGTGTGTGCAGTTCCCGAGTTGATATAGAACCCCAGCAAACTAGGGTGTTTGGTAGTATTGTGTTATTCCTTGTATAGCTTCATGATGGTTCGCTGAAAGTATTTTTGGAGGAGGATAATGGGTATTTTTGGTTCATTTTTTATCAAAATGTATTTTTTAGCATCCTTGTGTTTGGTTTGTAATAATAATGCAAATGAGTGAAGAATATGATGGTGAAGTTAAAGCAATATGAAACGAAGTTCATTGGGTACAGAATTTGTTCATGAGAAGAAGAAAATGAAAGTACTGTTTTTGGACAGAAAGTCATCCGGGTCTCACATCACCACCTTGTCTTCACGAGTGAGATTTGATAATAAGCACTGACTTCTGGAGACCTTTTTTTTCTCAGAATTCATAAAAGGTTTAAAGTAAGGGCAATTTTTTAAGAGGTGATACATTATTTTTATATGGTAGGCAAAACAAATTGTCCTGATTATTCCTCTTCATGAGGTGGTCCTATTTATGAAAATAATGTTGATGTAATTCAGTTTCTTCTCTGTTTATTTCTCCATGTTGATGAGAACAAACTGTCGAGCCTTGAGAACACTTACCAGGCTAGATACAAGGTTCTCTATTTTGTCTTCACATATTGCTGTTGATTACAGTCCTCGCAATGTCTGACAATTCTAGATCTGCTAACAGTAAAACTGACTGCTTATGTTGCTCAACACTGTAATTGTAGATATCATTTGTGGAAGTATTATCGCAGTATGCTTTAAAGGGTTTATTGGTATTTGTGTGTTTATCAAATGCTTGTATATAGTCAAAACTTATTTCCATGTATATTCTTTCATTTATTATGAATTTAAATATGTTATTCTTTTTATAAAAGTAGCATCACTTTAATTTGTTCACCATGAAAGTCTCCAGTTTGATACAGTGTGATTTTGAGTTAAACTCTCTACAAAGTCTCTATGCATTGAAATCTTCAAATGATCATTCCACTGTTTATATCACTGATGTGTTCAGGTATGATTCAAATGGAGTTCACATATTAATTCTGCTGAAGTTATAATGGTACTGAGAGCATAATTCTAATTTCAGTTCAACAGAACATGGTCCGACAATATGCTGTTATATACCTGTAAAATGAATTTAATTTTCCGTGATTTAACTGAGATTCAAGTTTTAAGATATTGCTGATGAATATTTGTAAACGTTGTCAGGTATATTCATTGATCAGCCACTCTGCTTTTAAACTCATTAGGTAGAACTGAACTGAACATGCAGAATTGTTTTATGAAAGACAGTTTCAAGGAATACAGTTTTTCGAAACCTCAATTATCCAGTCAGTATAGACCAGATAATCGGATATTTTTCCTTAAAAAGGTGTCAAACCTACAATGCCTAGAATGAAGGTGCATGATCTTTGAATTAAATCTGCATTTTATTTCCATGAAACAGTGTTTTCATCTTTGTTTTCATGCCTTTTTCATTTGTTTTCTCATTGCTTAAGTTGTTTACGTTTTCATTTTGAATCGTCTTTTAGGTAATGTTTTCATTCATGTCTTAGAATGAATTTTATGCATTGTCAGATGTAAGAATTAAATTCATTTTATTGTACTTTGGGAAAGGAATGCTTTTAAGTGGAATGCTTTGTATATACCAGGTATGTTATCAATATTGTATGATACAGCTCACTGTATATTGCACTGCAGAATATAGCTAGTCACTCTTGACATGTGTTTACCAGGTTGTACATTACAACCACCAACTATTAGATATAAATGTATATAGAATATAAGTAAAGTATTCAAATTATCTTCATGTCATAGAATATTTAGAAAAATACAGTTGAGATTTTAGGCTTTGTTGAAGAAATTTAGATTACACTGTAAATCTAATGACTTCATGCCAAGCTCAACTGCTAAAGAAAATGTTTTAGAAATGTCCTTTTGTGATCCTGAAATATGTGTAACAAAATGAATTGGTGATGCAGTTATTTTACTTGGATTGGCCTGAAAATGCTTGTTTTGCATATAAGACATTTTGACAAATTCTGACAAAAGTTTCTGTGTAATATGTTTTCTGAAGTGTTGAGCTGTTGGTATGAATGTCTGGCAGTGAAACAATAACTATGCTTGTCAGCACATTATCTGATTGTATTTGTAGGGGAATAAAGTCTTTCTTCATTCATAAACTATATGTTGTTTTAGTCTCTGTTGTTTGACATGGTCTGTTTCTTTGTATTTGTGTTTTTAACTCTGCACTCGGCTATATTCCAGCTATATGATGTTGGTCTGTGAATATTAACATCTGGACTAGACGATCCAGTGATTGACATCATGAGCACTGACCATGACATGGATGATATGACATTCATCAACCAAGTCAGCGAGTCTCCCAATCGTCACATGGGGCGGTGTTAGGTAGCCTAGTGGTTAAAGCGTTCTCGCGTTCGCTCGTCCCGCTAAAGGCCCGGGTTCGATTCCCAAGATGGGTACAATGTGTGAAGCCCATTTCTGGTGTCCCCCACCATGATATTGCTGGAAGATTGCTAAAGCGGGGGTAAAACTAAAACTCACTCACCCCAATCGTCACAGGTTCATTGGTGTGTTTCTTAGTCGACTAACAGTAGTTTACTGCCGTGCTGAAGTCTTGAAATATTCATAACTGCGTTTGAAACTCAAATTCACTGTCACGATAACGTGAGCTTCGTTTGAGGTCAAGGTCACCTGAATGGTGTTGGCGAGAAGGTGCAGCATTTCCTTCACCAATCGACCTCTCACGCAAAGTAGGAAAACACAGGATATAAAAGTACGTTTGTTGATACGCAGTAAAATCAATACCGCTCACGCCCGAGTGTGGACAGTTAAAGTGCATTCAAACATGTCGTAAATATCATACCAAGACTAGTGTTTGTGACAAACACGTTGTTGATTTCCAGGCCTCGCCTGTGTGGCAAGTATATTTTCAATTGCCAGTTGCCGATAACTTAATGTTTGGGAATTTTTTTATGGGAATTTATATAAAGCCGAGTAAGTTACATTGTAGGTATCAAATA